TTGTGGCTGAACTGGGGAATGGCAGGGAGCAGGGGCATGGAGGGGCTCCTCTGGCTTAGGTGGCTTCTAGGTCTCAGACTCCTCTTCAGTCTGGTGTCAGTGGCAGGAACTGAGCTGTGGGGTCCTCAGGGAGAGCTCTCCCCTCTGGCTCAGCCAGTCAACAAGGGCTGGGCCCTGGGAATATGCTAATCAGCCAGCGGGTAGGTCCCAGTTGGGGATAGCACATCTGGAGCCGGGAGCAGCATGGTTGGAAATAGACTGGGATAAATATATGGGAGTCCCCTGGGGCCAGGGAGCCAAGGCAGACAAAGGGGGTCTCCTGGCTGAGAGGTTCCCGGGCTGGGCTGGGGGCGGGGCGGCAAGAAGGAGGCGGGCAGTGGGGGTGGCCTGGATGGAGAATGTGGAGATACTGGCCCCTTGGGGGAGGAGGGAGGATGACAAAGGGAGGACTCCTGAGCCTAGAAGAGGAGAAACACATCCAGCTGGGGTGGGGGGAGGGGAAGGAGGGCTCCACTGAATTTGTAATGACAAAGGGCAGACCCCTGAGGGTCACAGACTGACCTTCAAGTCTGCCCCTGCCCCACCTAGGAGCATTTTCTCTCACTCATTTGTCCAGCAGCCAACCAAAGATCACCAACCTGGGACTGGGCTCCTGAATTTAGAACCCTTGCTCAACCACTGTGGCAAGTCACTTACCCTTTCTGGTCTCAGTTTCCTTCTTGCCCTAAAACAAGATTGGATTAAATGCCCTCTAGGATTTCCTCTGGCCTAAAACCCTACTGATTCTCTTCCTTCATTCATTCCATCAACCTAGCTCTTACTTGTGTGAATCACAGTTCCTCCTGCTCAGGGCAGGCGGGCTCCTTAATTTCCTGGGACACTCCCTGCACGTTCCCGCCTCCCTGCATGGCCACGAAGGCCCTTTCCCCTGAATGCCCACCCTGCTCCTTTTTGCTGATCCAGAGCCTGCCCACCTTGCTAGAATAACACAGAGCCTTAAAATGGCAATTAATGTGCTGGCCATTACGTAAAATGATTTTTATGAGGTATAAGAAGTACTTTTGACAAAGTAACAAAAAGGGTCATTATAAAGACTACATACAGCCCTAGAAAAAAGGGAGGTTTATGAAACTATTACGCGAAAATAGAAAAACTACAAACTACACACTTGTGATTAAAACTATATAAAATTTCTATGCCTGAAGAAGGCAAAAGACACAAAATCAAATGGCTGTTTCAGAGGAGTGGGAGCAGGGATGGATAGTGATTATGTTTCAAGTCTCCTTACTATAATTGCCATTTTCCTTCTAATGTAAACATTGCATTTGGGATTTAAAAAACCCAGGGCTCTCAAATCCCTCTCCCTCCAACTCCTCCCAGGAGCCTCCCTAACTCCAGCCCATGATGATCTTGCCTTCTTTAATTCCTCCTGCACACTTTTCCATCTTATTCTGTAGAGAACCATGGCCAATGGGAGAGCACCTCAGAGGACAAGGCCTGGGTCTGCTTCCAGTCCTGCTTCCCGCCCTGGTTCCAGCCCTACTTCTGGTCCTGGTCCTAGTTCTAGTCCTGCTTCCAGCCCTGGTTCTGGTCCTGATTCTAGTCTTGCTTCCGGTCCCGGTTCCAGTCTTACTTCCGGTCCTGGTTCTGGTCCTGGTTTCGGTTCTGCTTCCGGTCCTGGTTCCAGTCTTACTTCTGGTCCTGCTTCTGGTCTTACTTCCGGTCCCGGTTCTGGTTCTGGTTCTGCTTCCGGTCCTGGTTCCAGTCTTACTTCCGGTCCCGGCTCCCTCCCTGCAGGCTGCCTGGCCTTGACGGGTTATTCACCCCTTCGGTGCCTCAGCTTTCTCATTTAATTGTGATTGCTTTCCTCCCGGGAGGACGCCCGAGATAACGCTGTGAGCATCAGCCCAGTGCTGGGCTCCCAGGAAGCTCTCGGGCATTGTCATCATCGTTACTGGCATCCCTTCTTGTGCTTTCTAGTGGCTTGGCCTGTCTTGATACACTTGTCTCATCCTGAAGCCAGGCCCCTATGGCCCTTGGAGCGGCCTGTGCGGGCTGGGTACACTGCGGAGGGATGGTAGGTACTCCCCCCCCCCCCCCCCGCTCATTCCCGCGCATGCGCGCTCATTCTGCTGCCCTCCAGGTGCACCAGGCCGTAAATATTCCCCCTACCCCAAGGTAAGAGGACCCCAGACTAAAGAAGGCTCAGGCTCACTCACACCATAAAGTGGGATGCTGGGGTGGAACATCACCCTGCCTCCTTCTCCAGGCCGCTAGCCATGCCAAGGGCCCTGGACCCAGGCTGAGAGAGTCCCTGACGGAGGCCTGGGGCATAGGGATACAACACAGCAGGGAGGGCATGGCTTCCCTGCAAACGGTCAGCAGGGGCAGTGGGCCTCAGTGCCCTCATGCGGAGGATGTAATTGTCATTTTCCTTGCAGGGCTGCAGTGAGGATCAGTGATCACGTTTGGGAATGTGCCTCCAAGAAACAAGTGCTGCACACACATGTTGCTGATTAATGCTGCCACTTGCCTGCCCCTAAGCACGCCCCCCCACCCCCAGCCTGCGGCTCCAGATTCCCTGCCCCCACTGGGACTGCCACATCAGGCAAACCCAGAGAGAGACTCATTCTGGAGCAAACACCTGCAGCTCAGGAAATGGGGTCCCGTGCTGTTCTCTAGATGGGCTGAGTGACAAGGGGCTTAGATGGGGACAGAGGTGGGCCTTCTTCCCCCTGCCTCTCCTTCAGCCCACCCGAATGTTAGCAAGGATGGCCCCTACTGCAAGGCCACCTTTCGCTCCATCCTCGGCGCCTGCTTTAGGGGAGCAGAACCAAGTGCCAGAGGCTCGAGCCAATGCCCTTCCTTGGACACGTGGCAGAAAGGGAGGTGGGAGCAAGCTGTGGGAACAGACTGTTCCGTGGCTCCGGTGGGCCTGGCCACATGGGAATGGCTCAGTGCAGGCTTCCCACCCAGCCGGGTCATCCTCAGGGGCTCCGAGGCGTGTCGCAGGGCAAGCCGACTTCATGAGGGTTGGCACACCCCTCGCGGGACACCCCCACCCCTCCCTGACCCACAGGAAGGCGGGCAAGACGGCTCCACAGCTGAGGGCCAAGGGTTGCACTGGGGCTGCGCCCTGAGGAGGGGAGGGCTGGGAGACTTCGGAGTCCTCCAGAGAATGTGGGCCCCGAGCTGGCCACTCATGGCCCAGGTCAGCTGGCAGCGGGAAGGTCTGTGTTTCTTTTAATATCAACTCCCAGGCATTTAACATTCCTCGAAGCTTAAACACAGAAACATTTTCCTTACCAGACTGTGCTTTCTGCTCTGCCAAACATAACCTGGCTTCCTCCCCTTCCCCCAAAGCCTCCATCTGCTCCTGTCTCCGAGATGTAATGATTTATGGTGTGTTTCCCTTGGGGCTTGTGCGGCTGACAGAAACAGGGAGGAGGAAAGCAATGGGGCTGGAAGTCCAGGTGCGGGACGGTGCCACGGGGCCCTGGAATCTGCATTCTGGAGAGGTCAGGGCCCATGGTGCTCCCTGGGCGGGCTGCTAACTCATCCATTCCATGGCCACCAGTGGCCCAGGGAGCATGGCAGTCACACGTTTCTTGGCCGGATATCTCCTGGGGCTGGGCGGGCAGCACCCCTTCCCTGCCTGTCCCACCAGCCACCCAGGCATGTGGAGACAGGGCTCCCAGCCCTCATCCCTGCAGGAAGTAGGGTCCCAGGACTGACTTTGCAGACCTCTCTCTCATCTAAATGACGAAGGGCTGGCTTAGGGTTGCCTGGCAGCACCATCTCCCTGGCGACAGTGCTCAAAAGAGCTGGTCCCGCAGCATTAGGAAGGGACGTGCACATGAACAAGGGTGACACGAGGCAGATGGCTGGGCCCCCACCAAACGATACCATTCCCCTGTTCAAACACTCAGGTGAAACAGGTGGGGAGAGGAGAAGGCCCACATGGGTCCCCGAAGGGCACTACCACCAAGAACACTGAGCCAAAAGCCAGATACCAAACTCCGCATCCTCCACAGGGCATCAGAGAACAAACACTTCCTTCAAAAAAGTGCCATTCAGCTCCCCTGACTCCCCCCACCGCCCCCCGCCAGATCACATCTGGACAACTGTTAAGAAGCTCAGAACACTGAAGGCTCATGGGCTCAGTCCCAGTGCCAGTTTCCCTTGATTTCAGGGTCACAGAATTCACCACCAATGAGGCCACTTGTGTCCCAAGGACGAGGCCACACCTGGTGCCAGATGGAGTGTGGATGGCTCCATGCTGAATGCCAGCCCCCTCAGACCTACATGCTCTTGACAGGTAAATGAAGAGTAGTCATCTTCAAAACTGGCAGAATGTTCCAGAGACACAGGCTACAAACAAGGGCTTCCAAGAAACACAGCCAAGGCATGTATACTCCTAACCTGACTCAGGACCTGGCTCTACCAATACCTTAAGTCACTGAACTCCCGGCATGAGTAAGGCCCAGCAGCCCTAGCAACAAGTCAGAGACCAGCCCCCAGCAAGCCAGCTGGATCCTAAGCCCTTCCAGTCCAGTGGCAAATGCTCAAGGCCTCACTCCTCCAACGCCAGACATTGCTAACCAAACACAGCATTCATGGATATAGCCTCAGAATCCTTCTTAACACAATGTTCCTGGGAAAAGCCCCCAGTAGACCAGAGTTGGGATGTGAAAACAAAGGGAGTTGTCATCCCTTCCATCCATCGTGCAGGAGTGTGCATGATGCACCTGAACCAGCCATGGAAGACCGAGGAAGCAGCGCACATGGGCTTCTGGAGCTAGAATAAGACACCATCACCAGCAGGAAAGAACCACCACCTTGGGGAACTTTTCTCAAACCAGTTTTGAACCCAAGTCACAAAAGGCCAAGCACCTTAACCAAGAAGGCAGGTGAGAAGGACTCCTTCCCAGTAGCACCACCTCCTGGCAGCTCCCAGAGAGAGGCCTGCCTTGGTGCCCCAGCTGCGTCTGGACCCTTACCTGGATCTGCCCTTTGCCCATGATCTTGTCCACAATCTCGTTGTTGTCCTTGTTGACCTTGGTCTTGTCATAGCACTTCTCGTAGCACAGGATCCTCAGGGACTGGGAGCCCTCCAGCTCAATCTCAAACTCCTGGGGAAAGATGGTACAACGATCCTGAACCTCCAAGGCTGAGACACATAGCTTCCTGGCGAGTGCGGGCCCCAAGTTTGCAAGGGTTAGAAGCGGGTGACAAAGGCCCAAGAGAAGCACGTCATAAGGCATGGAGGAACTTCCTCCCTTGCTGGAGCCCCAGAGGCCTCCGAATTGCTGGCGTAGTGGAGTCTAGGCCTGAGCTGAAAACCCCACATCTAGCCGTAAACACAGTACCAGACTAAATAAGCAGGGAGTGGAGGGCAGAGGGGTTAGGGAGACAGAATTCACCCAGCCAGCAGGCTCGGCCATCCCCAGTCAACAGCAAGTGAGCACAGGGAGTGGGGTGGGTACACTTGGTGATAAGCTCAGAGGTCCCTGCGGGGATGCCAGCCACCTCCACTCACCTCATCCCACTTGGGCTCTGTCGTGTCCCGGAACACCCTGGTTTTGGCTTTGCTGACAAAATAGCCAAAGGAATCCACCTCCAGCGTACAGTACAGGTCTGCAGCGGGGACAGGCAGAGACACACTGAGTGAGGCCCGAGGCTCGGGACCTCGGGAGGGAAAGGGGGGGTAAATGCCTCTGTCCCCCCAACATCCCTGCAGGACACCCTCCGTGTTCTCCTTCCCACAGCCCTACGTGCTCTGGCTCCTTCCCACTTCTCTGCCCTCTTCTTAGCCGGCTCTGCCCCCTCCTCTGCCTCATTCACCGCCCTCCAGCTACACTGGCCTCCTCCCTCTGATCTGCCTCACTGCTCCCACCTGAGGGCCCTGTAAGGCTTTGCAGTCCCTCCATCCCTGGTCCCTGTCTGGCTGCCTCCTCACCACTGAAGCCTCAGGCCAAGTTTTCACTGGCCACGCTGGCTAAAGAAGTTTTGCTCTCCCCCATCCCTTCTCCCACTAAATCCCAGGTTCCTCAGCAGGGCGTCTGGCATCTGAGGTGGAAGTCTCTGGAAGGCATCTGGCCTCTGAGTGCTGAAAATCTGGAGTAACCCCCACTCACTGTGACAACCAAAAATGCCCCCCCACATTCCAAAAGCTTGGTTTGTTGTTTTCTTCATAGCACTTGACTTTAACTCAAGTTCTCTTTTCTGCCTCGTTTCCCCTCACCACATCAACACCACACAGGCAGAAGTCTTGTGTTCTTAGCTCCCGGTGAGACCCAGCTGACGCGGCCACAGCACTGGGCGGCCACCCCAGGTGCTCTGCAAATCCACACCCTCCCTCTGGGGCTCAGACCCTGACACGTGTCCCCCTCCACGGGAGTGGCCATGGTTGTATCCCAGTGCAGTGGTGCACGGGAGGTGCCTTGAGGGTATCAGAGCCAATCCTCTGTAGTGTGAATCAAGGGGCAGACGTCAGAGGGTGGACATCCATGCCCCTCCGAGGCCCCATTAGAGGGCTCTCCTCAGTGAGAAGGGAGAGTGGATGGAGCAGCCCCCGAGTTGTCTCGGGCTGGGTAGGACGCAGACCAGACAGAGCTGGGTATCAGGGCACGCTGGGAGGTAGGCACAGATTAACAGGCAAACAACACCAGAGGCCTTAAGCACCCGGGCCTCTGCCAGATCAGAGAGCAGGTCTGGGTGGTGGAGAGATGGAGGGCATGCGTGCCATCCCCCATTTATTGATTTTCGTGTGAGTGAGCACTGTCGGGTTAGGGGAAAGTTCATGAGATAGAAGGAGGGCTTTGAGTCTGACTGTCTGGGTTCAAATCCCAGCTCTGCACAAATCACTGAGTCTTTCTGCCTTAGTGCTTTCATCTGTAAAGCAGGACTAACAATGGTGCCTACACCCCAGGCCAGACTGTGCAGATGTAATGAACGTATTAGGACAAAGAACGATGGTTGAAGATTCATGGGGCCTAAGCCTGCTGAGTCAGAGTGAACATGTGAACGGCGCTGGAGGCCGGTGGAGGGAGGAGGTGAGGACGATCTGGAGGTCAGGAGAGATTTTTGTAGTAGTAGTTCACCTCATGTCTAACCCCCCTGACCCAGTTTGGGAGGCAGAACATCTGCTCTGGGAGAGGGGGCCACACCACCCCCAAGGCCCTGCTCCCTGAGGCCCATCCCGGCCAACAGGGAGCAGGGAGAGAGGGTAAGTCATCTGGGCATGGTGGGCCACAGACTCAGGTATGTGGAACAGCCTTCTAGAACTTACCAACCAGGAATATTCCTGGGCAGTGCCCCCTAGAAAGGGGTTCTGTGTCTGGGGAGGGTCCAGGAGGCTGCCCCGTGTGTATGAGCAGCACGGCCTGAGTGGTAAGCGCAGAGCTCCTGGCCATACTGAGGGAAACGCTGCTCTAAAGCGAAAGGGATGGGCTTTGGTAAATGGGAGTGATAACAGGGACCTGTTATGCCAGGAGGGATGCCAGGGGGATCAGAGCAGAAGATGCACTTGAAAAGGCTCTGAAACAGGCCAAGGCATCATCCACACACTGGCCACGTTTGAGTTTTCTGCAGCACCTCGAAGGTACCCAGGCACCCAGCAGTAAAGTACTCCATGAACTTCACAGTCAATGTTTGTCGAATGGCTGTTGGCGAGTTAATGCCACGTTCTCTGCGTGGTGCAGCGCAGGTAGAGGGGCCCAGGGCAGACCTCGTCCCACAGAGACAAAGCGGAGGGAGTGGGAAGGGGCAGGCGGAGAGCAGAGGAGTCAGGAACCCCGGGTTTCTGATGCTCTGTGAGGTTCAGTCCTTTTATCTGTGACTCAGTTCTTTTTCCTATGGAAGATAAATTCCTATGGGGGAAAATTAGATAAAAAAAGCGTAGTTGTATCTTGTCAGATGCTAAGAACTGCACGGATTTGGGAGACGGTGATGAAGGCAGGAGGGAAATGTGCGGCCGTGTGCCGGAAGAGCACATAACTCAGTCATCTCCAAGCCTGCTCTTAGGTCAGTATTAACAAGTGTGTTCGCTTTTTATAGAGAAAGCAGCTGAGGGTCCGAGAGGTGAAGAGATTTGCCTGAGGTCACATAGCTTGTCCCTGGCAGATGTGGGGTTAGAGTCCAGGATTTCAGACACCCAGGAGTTGGGGAGGGCTTGGGGAAGACCAGACCTCGGAGACACAAGGCAGGAATGATCCTCCTGCCAAGAGGAGCTGGTTCCTGACTGTTGGGGGAATGCCCACCCACATGTCAGGGCACCCAGCAGGGCCGCAGCCTGGGCAGACCACAGCAGACTTGGTGGACCGTGGGAGGCCCCATGCAATGGGTTCATGGGGTCTTCCTGTGAAAGGATGAACCATGGCTCCCGCTCTTCCTAGGGTTGGGGGTCTGGGGCACTTACTGGCTGACTGCTTGAACCCCTTGGCGGAGTGGACGATGACATGGAGGAAGCCATAGAGTCCTGGAGACTCGTCGTCTGTAAGAGAGGAAAGCCCCCCAGGGTAGGGGTTGGCGAGAGGCCGGCTTCGGCCCCTTCTCACCCCAGGCTCGCAGGAAGGCCAAAAGGGTCGAAGGACACAGTCTGAGCCTTGGTCTCGCAGCACCACCTGGTGGCTGGAGGAAGAAGTTTCCAGAGCCCTCTGCTTCCGGGAATGTGAGCTGGTGCCCCTTCTCCCTCTGCTCAGCCTGGAAGGCCAGTCCACACCTTCCCTACTGGGCCAGGGATCTCATACCATATGGGGAGGAGAGCCTGCCTTCAAAACCCCTTCCCAACACCCATGAGCAACCAGATTCTACCCATTCTGGACCAGCCCTGATCACAGTTCTCCGCTGCTCACAAACCTCCCATAGGCTCCTTGGCTTGAACAAACTCCTTTGCTTTGCATTCCCAGATCTGGTCCCTGGAAACTTCTGGCCTTATTTCTCATACGCTTCCAGCTACCCTTTCCCCCTCCACCACCACGCCCCATGCTTCGGTCTTTCGCTTCCATTATCTGACTACCTCATGAACATATTAACAACATGATTCCAGGGCACGAGGGTGCCAGATTCTTCTCTCAAGCCAGAGGGGGCCAGGGAGGAGTTGGGACCATCTGGGAACTCAGTAGAGAACAACCCCTATTCAAGCTCTCTATGTACCTGGCAACGGAGTTGTTACAACCATGTGTCTGGCTAGGTCCTTATGGAAGGTTCCAGCAACGCCCTGGGGGCTTGGGCCTGCTGATTAGACAACCTTGGGTTCCAGATCTTACCGTCTTTATTGCTGGTGACGGGAATGTTGTGTACAGTCCTAAGTTTGAAACAAGATCCCGTGAGCACCTGGAGCTCCACACTGCTCAGGACAAAGGCCTGGAGATCTGTAGGAGGAGCCGAGAGAGGAAAATGTCATCACAGATCCACTAAGACCTGCTGCTCTTCTCTGGGGGCTACTGCAGGAAACAAAGCTTAGCTCTAGGGGCAGAGTTGGTCACGGGAAGGGAGGGGAAGATTTGTAGGGACATGGGGACAGTCACAGGTGGCTTCCAACTGTGTGTGCGCAACACGGAGAGCAAGAGAGAGACAGACAAGCCTGGGCTCTGGGTCCAGGCCTATCGCTAATTTATTCTGTGCCATAAGCAAATTACTTAAATTCTTTGGGCCTAAAGTTAAAGTAACATCAGTTAAATGCCACCCGCCCTGGCACCTTACAGAGTGACCGTAAGGGCCAAAGAGGAGACCGTGGACATCGAAGTGCATGGAAACGCAAAAGGCCACTCTTGCCATGGACACCCTCAGAGCTGTGTGGAGCGGGGTGGGACTTTACCCTTCTTCTGTAGCTTCTGAATGGCTTCTCTCCACTCTGACCTCTCATAGTCCGAGGACAGTAGGAACAGGTAGCTCTGAAGAGAGGAAAAGAGAATTCATTGGGGTGACCATGTGGCCAAGCACATCCCTGGCTCCTTCTTACCGAGGCGCCCGGAGGCTTGGCCAAGGTGGGAGCTGGGGAGAGTCTCCTTTCTGGGAAGCCTAGGCACCGGAGTGGCAGTGTTGGTGACGGCCAGCAGGGGGCACTGGCTCCACACCAGCAGGGAGAGGGAGTCCAGGGTAGGAGCTGGGGCAGCATCCTCGGGAACTGGGCCTGAGTCCCTGATTCCCACAGATCATGGTCAGGAGCCCTAGAGAACGAGCAGCCCTGGACTGAGGAAGGGGGCCACCTCCGTCCCAGCACCACCCCTTTCTGACCTTTCCATTCCGATTGTGGATCCGAAATGGGATCGTGGGGGAGTTGAGCAGCAGCAAGAACTCATTCTCAAACATCTTCTTTTTCAGGCGCTCGATGGCCCGGCTCTGTCCTTTGTTGGCTTTCTGTGGGGGCCGGAGGGCACAGGTGGTTTCCCTCACACACTCCACTCCTCACTCGGCAGCTCTAAGCACAGCACTTCTTGTGCATTCATCATGTCTTTTTCTTTTTTTGTATTTTATGATGCTTTGACATCTAGGGGGGTGCCTAGCTGGCCAGGGAGAAAGCTACCCCTTCCCAGGGCAAGCTGACCCCTAAGCTGGTACATACCTTCCTGTGCACATACCTTTCATATACAAACCAACCAGCCCTGAGTTCATACCCCCATTCACCAAGCCAATATTCCTCTGCCCTAAATAACCCAGGGCCAGGTAGCAGACAGCTAGGGACCACCCGATAGCCCAGAGCCTGCTGACATTTTCCAAACTCCCAGTCCTAAGCAGTTGCCTCTGCTCTGCTTTCCTTTCCTGCAGGAAACACAATACAGGCTCTGAGCCATGCTTTCCCCCTGTGTCTTCAGCATCCTGACCAAACCTGGGGCTTCCCCTGTGGCCCTGTGTAGGATGATGCACCCCTTCCTCTTGGAAACGGCATTAGCCTAAGCGTGTCATCACTCAGTCACTTCTATAAATCAGATCCTGGGTATCATCAAAATACCTGCTTAACAACCTCAGACACCTTTCAGCAAAAAGGCCTAACTGCTGGCCTGGCACACGGGGCCTCCCAAGGCTGGGGCTGGCCTCCGTGCCCAGCCAAGGATCCTACCATGCCCCACCCTGCACGCTCCACCTCAGCTGCACCGTATTACTCCTTGTTCTGAAACAAACCCTTAGGTCTCAACCTGTGTCCCCCTTCTCCAATTTTTCAAGTTTATATTTTGTGAAGGATCCCCTCCCTTTTAGTAACTGCTATTATGCTTCAAGTTTCAGTTCCAGCGCCAACTTCAAGCTCCTTGATTAGAATTCATCTCTACTGCATTTTTTTTTTACCCACTAGACTAGCAAAATGGTAACAAGTGCTCACAGCCAGTGTTGTGACAGTGTGGGGGAACAGTGACTCTCTCACGCTGCTGGGGTGACAGTGTGGGGGAACAGTGACTCTCTCACTGCTGGTGGGGGGGGGGGATATAATCGGACACGACCTGTCCAGAAGTAAATCTGGCAATTAGAGCAAGCCCTCTGCCCCAGCCATCCCACTTGTAGGGAAGCTACCAAAGAGAAATAGGAGCGCAGTCAGGTTTACTGCAGTCTTGCCTGTTAAGAGTAAAGAACCAGAAACAATCTAAATTATCTCGTACATCATTGTGCAATGAAGTGACAGAATAGAATAGGAAGCAGCTGTTAAAAAGAATATGATAGATCCAAAGAGCTCTAAAATGCACCATTAAGTGAAAAGCTTAAGTTGCAAAATGGCACATATAGTCTAGTCTCATTAAAACAAAACAAAAAAATACACACCGGTAGAAGCATAGAAGAGTCTAGAAGTATACACCTCAAACTGTTAACAATGCGGGGTGGGTGATAATCTGTTACACTCTGTATGCTTCAGTATTATATTTCTTGTGATAACAAGCCAGTGTTAGGTTGGTGATGAGAACAAAAATAAGCTTTAAAAAAGTATTATTAAAAAAAATCAATCACTGCTTTTTCTGTGACTCAGTGAACAACAACGTGCCTCCCCGGTGACTCTCCTCACATCGTGTCACATGCTGAGGTCAGTCATGGGCAAGACAAGGGACTCCTTGAGGTGTCTGGCACACCCCTGCAACGAGCAGCCAATGGAGCCCAGGAACTGTGGATTGGACTGAGCAGAAGGCCATGTGTGCACACCTGGGGCAGGAGGGAGGGGACGAAGTCCACCAGCAACCAGGACCAGGAGAAACAGGCAGGCAGGATGCCCTGGGGTGGGGCTGGTGGAGCTGGGGAGACAGGCTCCACTAAAAGCAGGGTGGGGTGAGGCCAGTCAGGAGGAGGACACCTGTGTCCCTCTGGGCAGATGTGCCCCTAGGGAGATCCTCAGTCCTCGGTCATCCCCCTGCCCCAGACACCCTTGGGGTCATTCCTGTGGTCTTCCTCTCCTTCAAAGAGGGATGTCTAAGCTGAAAGGATTCTTAGAAGCCATCTGGTCGTGGATTCCTCAACAACTGCTTACAAAGCACCTACTATGTGCCGAGTCCTAGGGACATAGAACTGAGGAAAACAGCACGGTCACTAGAGTTCAAATTCAAGTGGGGAAAAGAGAAAGTGGACTGTGCAATTACAATTCAGAACCAGTAACGCAAAAGAAAGAGCGGATCCCAGGACCGGAGCGCAGGGCGCCCAACCCAGACGCAGTGGGTACACAGCAGGGAAGGCTCCCGGGGAGGTGAGGCCTAAGCTGAGCCCTTTGTGACATGCGTGGGGAAGCCACCTCCTGGGGGGGGCTTTCCTCTAGCCACTGTTTTCAAATATATGAATTTAAGGCTATACATTTTCCTCTAAAGAGTGCTTTGGCCACACCTATGGGTTTTGATATGAGTGCTCTCATTTTCATGCAGTTCTAAATAGTCTGCAGTTTCCATTAGGATTTCCTCTTTACCTTGCCAAGTTTTAATTTTCTAGGCATATACTTAACCATATTCTAGTTGTTGATTTCTGATCTCGTTGCACTGTGGTCTGTGAACATAACCAGTATGCTATCAAATTTTTTTTTAGGAGTAGCTACTCAGTTAGTAGACCATGTGACTCTTGATCTCAGGGTCATGAGTTCAAACTCCACGTTCGTCGGTAGAGCTTACTTTAAAAAGAAAAATTACCAAAGAAGTGTTTTTTAAATTTCCGATTTCCTTTGCAGCTTAATACATGACAAATGTGTGTAAATGTTGCATACAGGCACAAGCTTCTGTGCATTTTTAGATCAAGTGGGAACATGTTAACTGTGGTACTCAAAGCCCCTCTCCCCGTACTTATTTGCCTACTTGATCTGTCGGTTTCTGAGAGGCCCCTCAAGCTCCTTCTCTTGCACTCATCTTGCTTTTCCTTCTTCTCTTGCTTTCCTTTTCTGTGGTGCTTGACATACCCTAGGCAGCTCCCCATGACTAACCCTACTAAACTCTGAACACTGACTTCTTGGCCCTCCTTCCATCTGCTCAGTGCTAATGTGCCACCGCCAGAGTCTTTCCCCGAGCATGTCCTTGAGGCCTCCTACTCCTGCATCCCGTCTCCCTTATCAGACTCTCAAGTCTTACAACTTCCCCTCCTTCTGCCATCCTGCCACACCTGGTTTAAAGGGCCACAAGGGAAAGGGCCTCCCCACCCCCCATCTCAGCTCAGATCACCAGGCTCTGCTCACCTCCTTCTGGATTTCACTCTTGAGGGCCGAGATCTTCATTTTCATGTCCTCCAGCTCGTGGTCTGGGAAGGGATGCACCTGGGGGCTGGCCTCAGACTCCTCGGGGGATGGAAACACTAGGTCGGCCAGGGGGATGTACCATTTGCAGTCATATTGCTGGTGCTTCCTGCAAACAAGCCGGAGAAAGACATGAGCGAGAGAGAACTTGGCTGTTCAAGCCTGAACTGCCAGAATCAGAAGAACACCTGAGAGGGATTTGTTAAGAACTTGTCACAGGCAAAAATGATCCGTGTCCTTGAGGAGTCTGTTCGGGAAACCCTCATGTGGAGAAATGACAGTCAGGGTCTAGGGTCAGGCAGCAGGGAGGGCTCTGGACCTTGGCCTTGCCAATCTTCAGGCCCAGTAGGACTGATGTTTTTAAACACTCCAAACCTCTAACACTTTCCTATTCCCCATCCCACGCTCTCCCCTCCCCCTAGCCGATCTATACTTAGCTCATAGTCATTGTCCTTTGGGCTGGAGATGGAATACACCTGTTATTCTTAACCCTGATCAATAGAGGTCACGTGGGGGTACTGGGTGGAAGATTATAAAGCCACATCCAAGCCCAGTGGGTACTAGTGCCATGGTTCGTTAGTAATGTCTGTCACGGGCAGAGGACTAAAGGCACAGATGTGTTTGCTCATTATGACTGCCATCTGTGCTCTAGAACGATCTCATTTGTGATCCAGTTCCAGGGAGTCCCCTCCTTTACTGAAACGCATACTAACCTCTCCTTCCCTCACCTTCCCCGGGACATGGGTTCACCCCTCTGACGCTGGCCTCTTAGTGCTGAGATGAGCACGAGACTTGTCCCCCCCGCCCTCTCCCGCCCCGGTCAGTGTACTTGGCACACAGCAGTCGATAAGGAAATGGAGGTGGAACAATGTGGGAATGAGTACCGCATGACCTCTTTTGCTCGTGGCACAGGGTGGACCCCACTCGCCGGGGGCAGGGACGGAGGTGGAAAGCAGCGCTCAGGCCTGACTACGGCTCAGATCGCATCTTTTCTACCTCTAGTCGTGCGACCTTGGGCAACTGATTGAACTTTTCTAAGTCTCTCCTCTCCTCTGTGAGAGTTTTGGGGAAGACTGGAAATCACAGAGTCAAAGCATTTGTCATGGCACCTGGAATGGCATAAGCACTCAGTAATGACAGCAGATTTAATGAATATTCACAGAATCACAGTTAGCAAAAATTTAGAGATGTCTAATAAAAGGAGAGTGCTTAAGTAAATTATGGCATATCCACTTGTAACATCACGCAGAAAGTAAAAGGATGATTACAAAGATTAGGCAGAGCCTGGGAAAATGCTTATGACGTGAAATGGAAGAAGCAGAGACCAAAATTGGGCATTCACTCTGATTACAAGTACATGAAAAAACATAAGAACGTTTAAAAAAACTGGAAGGAAATATAGCAGCAGGAGACCGATGCTTATGTTCGGGTGGGTGATGGGTTTTTCCCCCCTGTAATTTGGTTATATTATCTTTATAATTAAAAACATGATTTATTTTTAGAAAAAGGATATGTAGTAAAATGAAATTAATTAATCGATTTTTTAAAAGGAAAAACTAAATGCCAATTGCCTCCAGTGCTAGGGGGCTCCTCAGGGGGCAGAGTCTAGCTCCCTCCCACCCCGCCCCCTGGACTCACCCTGCAGATGTCTTCTTGAGCTTGGCACACAGTAGGACATCTGTAAAGAGGAAGACGTGCCGCAGCTTCCGGGAGCTCTCCGACACTTCCACCAAGAAGCCGTCCTTCACCAGCTGTCGCGTCTGAGGGAGATGGCACACCCACCCCCACCTGCTCAGGGGGAGTCAGCCCAGGGCCCAGCCCGCAGCGGGGGCACCATCCAGCTGGGAGGGGCTGAGGGGAGGGGCCGTGGCACCTGGTGCTTAAGGTCACACAGACATGGGCTTTCTGGTTGTAATCTGGGGCAAGTTCCCTGACTTCTCTGAGTCTCAGTCTTACCATCTGTAAAATGGGGATAATGACGGCTGCCCTGTAATGTCGGATTCATCAAGATGGTATATGTAAAAGAGCCCAATGCCTGGCACATATGTGATGAATAAATGGTAGATTTATGGGCGCCTGGGTGGCTCAGTTGGTTAAGCGTCTGCCTTCGGCTCAGGTCATGATCCCAGGGTCCTGGGATCGAGTCCCGCATCGGGCTCCCTGCTCAGCGGGGGAGTCTGCATCTCCCTCTCCCTCTGCCCCAACTCCTGTACTCTCTCTTCCTCATTCTGTCTCTCAAATAAAATCTAAAATAATAATAATAAAAAAATTTTAAAAAATGGTAGCTTTCTCTTTTCCTACAGTGGTCAACAGCTCTCACCTGGATAGACCCTAGTCCAGAATGACTTGGTTCCTCCACGCTGGGCCATGAACACTGCCCCTGCCCCCAACCCTGGGAAATCCCCCCAACCCTGCCTAAGAAGTTGATCTTGTTTCAGTTCAGCCTTGACCCACAGGCCTTCTCAGTCTGTTTCAGTGGCCTCTGAGTGGATTCTACAGCCGCCCTCAGGTGGATGGGAGACACGGGCTACCTTTGGTGGAGCTGTAGCAGCTCCTGGAGGACCCTGCAGCCATCTCTAACCTGGGTCCTGGATGGGTAAGAGCATTCTGCTCCATGCAGAACCTCCAGTTTCTGCCCTGACACCCTCACAGCCAGCAGGCTTCTCGGGGGCTGTCGCGATCCATGTCAGCCTTCCCTGTATTATATGCCTTGTGACCTACCTATGCTGCAATATGTAGGTGAGCATGGGAGAAGTATCCAGTTAACACGATCTGAAACTGACAGTGCTCTAAACCCTTTGGAGATCTTTCAGATATCCTTGAGCCAAACAAACCAATGACATTCCAGGGCTTGCCAACCAGGGCTGGGAGTTGCATATGGGGGCAGCTCTCTGTGCCCCATTTGTCATGCTCCAGACCCCGTCCCTCATTACTTCCCTCCCCAGGAGACACTGGAGGCTCAAAAATGTAATAAAAGAGCATAAACCCAGCTAGTCTTCACTCCTAAATGCCACTTAATTACCTCTCCTGGACAGGAAGCACTGTATAAGGGCCAGGCTGCTGACCCATGTGAGTAACTGTCCCTCCAATTCTTCAAATCGCTTCCCCTCTCTGGGGTACCCCCACCCTTCCACCAAGAAGGGCCCCCAAGGAACTGGAGCTGCTGTACCACATCTGCACCTGGGACATTCCAGCAACCTGGCAGCCTTAGCCACCTCCCGCTCCAGCCTTTCTTAACTGTTGGGCTCACTCCCTAGCTCTTACCCCACCTGTTCATGCAGGCTCAGAGCTCCTGCTCTCAGATTCCCTGAGCTCCCTCAGGCTGAGCCATTATCTTCCAGGGGACCCTGAGGCATCATACCGCCCACAGTGGGGGCTTGCATTCAATAATGCCATAGCCACAGCCCCTGGTTTCCCTGGTCTGGGGGACAGTGCACAAGGCTTGCAGAGAGATAACCCCAGCTAAGAATCCAGTTCCAACATATATGGCCAAGAGACCTTGTGTCAGATCTGCAGAGACTCACTAGGCCTCAGTGGATTTATGAAGATTAACAGGACACTGAACGTAAAGCTCCCAGGACCTGAAGACCTTCTCTTGGCCAGGCACGGGAGATGAGGGTTAGAGAGGCACCGAGGATGGGACAGTGGCGCCCGTCTGAGCAGGAGAGCAGGGATGGGTAATGTGGCGTGCTGCGCCCTTCTCAGCCCGGGTGAGAGGCGGGTCTGGGTCCTGAGCTCACCTCCCCTTTGGGAGTTGTGACCGCGGTCCGTCGGGGGTCAATGTCCTCATTGATGCTGGACAGGAAGTTCTGGGAGATGCGGAGGGCATCCTGGAGCAGCGGGTAGTCTGGGTGGTCCACAGGTGTGTGCTTCAGCAGGTCCTGGGAAAGGGTGGGGTGGTGAGTTGGGGGCAGCAGTTCTGGGGCTCAATGAGAAGAGAGTGGGGACTCAATCTTCACCAGAGGAATTCCAAGGCGGGGCACTAAGGGACCCATGCTCTAATCTGGTCATCCCTGTGAAATCTGAACTCAAAATGAGGGTCCAAGAAGCAGGGGTGAGGGTAGTGGTGCCCCTTTATTACTACTGAGTCATTACTCTTCTCCCTGGCAGAGGGAGCCAGGTGGGGTCTCATCTCCCCAAGCAGCTGGGAGAGACACCCCTCCACCCACCCCCACAGCTACTCCAAGGACCCTGGAGACCAGGAGGCAAGGGGTGGGGAGGTAGGAAGTGCCTGCCTCCATGGCAGCATCTGGTCAAATGTCGAGCTTCAAAGCCAAGCTATATTGGGGCCCTGGCTCCGCTGGCATGGTTACCGAGGCCAGGCAGGTGCAGTCAGGGCCCAGGGCCACTCTGCCAAGCTCCCCAAGTGGGTGGTTCTCAGTGACTCCAGCGCCCGCCCCCTGGGCTCAGTCTCCCACTGAACTCCTAGCCCTGCTCTGGCCATTTAGGGGCTGACACTTACATGGAGGACCAGGGTGCTCCTGGTGACGCGGTCAATGGGCTTGTAGAGCAGAGCTGTTGGCAAAGGCAGGGAGAAGGACACAGGACAGATGAAATACAGGGGGCAGCTTGACACCTCAGAGTTGAGCCTCATCTCTCCACCCGCCTCACTGCCCCCCCGACTGGGATGCCCAGGTGCAGGCAGCCACAGATCCGTTCTTCCCCAGGGCGGGCCGGACGGCACCCACACACAGATAGGCAGCACTGGCAGCCCAGGTCCCCTCCTGCCTGCCTCATCTCATCTCTTGCCAGACGTGACTTCTCGAAGGGCCATCCCACAGGCCTCTCCTTGTCTGACCAGGCTCAGAGCGGATGAAGATGCTCCTCCGTACCCTTAACCCAGCATCATACAGCTATACTTCGCCTCACCCCACAGAGTTCTGGCACACTTTGGTCACGCCCGGCACCCCAGAATGCGGGAAGGAGACATGATGCTCTTCCGGGGAAGGTGGCTCCTGCACATCCTGTCATTCTTATACTCCCTCCTCTGGCCCAAGGCCTGGCATCGCCAGCTGGGAACCACAGGCTTTGTTCTGACTCACACGGGCGGCCTCATCTCCATGAGAAGACCCCCCTCCATGCCGTCAAACTCCCTGACAAAACAGGACAAGCTGAGGGCTAGGGAGGCAGGCCAGCTCTTCACACAAAGCCTCTGCTCTCAAGCAAGTGGCAGCGGAGGGAGCAAAGATTTCCCGAAGGAATTCAGGTGGGGCCTCTGGGAGTGCTGAAGAGGCTGGGGGAAAAAAAGGCAGACTCAGTGGGGGACCCCCATTCCCCACACCCCTTGGCCAACCAGGACAGCAAAGGAGGACTGCTGGGGTTCAGTGGGGACAGGTGGAGGCAGCAATTGGCTGACCACACTTCCAAACAAAGCTTCCTGCAAGCAGCTGTGCCTTGCCCCTCCCAAACATACGTGGTTCAGCCTCAGTCCTACACCTGGATGCCTCTGTCCATGGGGTCGTGACCTCCATCCTCCTGCCACAGGGGCAGGAAGAGACAGGATGCTGGTTGTGACAGTCGCAGAGCCGACACTCATGCCCTAGCTAGTCCCCAAACCAAAGAGTCCCCTGAAGCCCTAAATATAAATACCCCATGCATTGCTAAGCAGACACTTCGGGGAACGATCTGCTGGCTCCGGAGAAGACAGAGTCTCAGTGGTATGCCATGAGCCTTATCTGCAGTCTTTGCTTGGCTGCCCTTTAGAATCACTAGGGGAGCTCTTAAAAGAAACAGCTGCCTGTCCCCCTCTCCCCACCTCATCAACTAAATCCCAATCTCTGCTGGGTGGAACCTGGGTATCAGCATTTTTAAAAAGCTTCTTTGCAGATTCTGATATGTAGCCATTGTTGAAAACCACTGCCTTATGCCAACACACTTCCCATGACTTATCTGTAGCCCCTTCTTAACGTGGCAATTGCGAGAGACCCTCCCCATGGTCTATGGGAGCTCAAAGGAACACGACCAGGCTTGGGTTATCCTGGGGCAGTGAGGGTAGAGCTCAGTTATCAGCCCGGGGCGGGGTGTAAGGGGGCCCGTACTGACATTATTTAGAGCACCCACCTGTGGCTTAGCTCATGTTTGGGGGGAAATCACACCCGAGAACCCCAAAGACCCAGGAGAAAGTGCAAGTTCAGCAGGCCCCTGCCAGGGTGGGCCCTGGAGTTCCAGCTCAGGGCAAAGCTGATACTGCAGTGTCAGCTCCCTCTGTCCCTCTCTCAAGTCCCAGGAGGAAGAGGTTTCTGACTAAGCTCAGCGGTCTGCACAAATGGTGGGTAGGGTTTCAGAGGGGTTACTGATATGCCTACGGTCACCTCGAGTCTACCTGACTGGGGATGTGGAATGAGTGCCCACGTTGGGGGAGAACAGCTAGGAGGAAAGGTGGGGGGGGGGAACTCAGGGAGAAGGCCCTGGGGCCACAGTCAGATAGGGAGGGAAAAGGGGGAGGAAGAGCCACCCCAATTGTTCTGTCGGGTCCTCCGGACAACGCAGGGTGAGGAGCCCACCCTTCCCCTTTCATCTGTCCCACGGCTCCAGCAGGCTGGGCTGCTTTCTGCCCCCTGCTTCCCCTACCCTCCCTTCTCTTCACCATGCCATTCCTGTTCCGGAGACAGACACCATTCACCAAGTTGCAACGCCTGTCTCCCCACCTCCTCCAGGAAGCCTTCCCTGACCAGGACTTCTGCAAACAATACCCACAGTGTCTGAAAGTCAGACCACTGACATGAGCAAGCTGGCCTCTCTGTAGTTTGCTGGGTACCTAGTCTGTGTCCAGTGGCATTTAATATGGGCTATTTCCTCTGATTAAAAAGAGAAGCAATTATCACTAGCCCCATTTTACAGATGAGGAAACCTCTCTAAGGCACAGAGAAGTTACGTAACTTGCTCACAATAACAAAGCTGCAAATGGCGGCTGGGTTTGAATGTAGGTCTACCCGTGCTCCTAACTTTGAGCTGTCTTCTTTGGTATGGGAGGGCAGCATCTACAAAAGCTCAGTGACCCTTGGGAGGATCCTTGGAAAGATTCACCAGGAAGAAGTGGGTAAGCTGGCCTCTTCTGCTACCAAGGTGGGCCCCCTCCTTGGGGGCCTGGATCACACAAGACTTCCTTTTGCATGCCACCCCCAGCATCTGGCTCAGAGACCTGCAGAGTGGGTGCTCAGCAAATAACCATTAAGCCAGAGTGAGCCCCAAGTGCAGAATCCCCCACCCTGGGGCCCCCAGAAGCAGCATCCCTTGGAGGGGCTGAGAAGATTCTAAACAGTGTGGTTGTTAAGGGCTTGTTCTCTCCTCCTTCCCCACTTTGAAGCGGACTTCAAAGACAGTATCACAGGGACCAAAGAAACACTAAACTCCAGTCCCAGGTCTGTTTCACTAAGACTAAACTCCCATTTGGGAAGGGAAGAGGAAGCCAAGGGCCAACCACACTTCTTTTTTAGGGAGGCAGAATTGAGACCTGACCCACTCCTAGGCGAGACCAAAAAGAGCATTTCTCCTCTGATCTTCGAACAGGCCAATTTCAAGTCCATCTCGCCTCTTGAGCCCGGCCTGTCAGAATCCGAGCCGACAGGTGGGGGCACGGGGCAGCTTCTGGCCAGTAACTAGAGTTCCCACAGCTGTCCTGCTGGGGCAGCTGGAGAGGGGCTGCCTCAGGGGTTCCTCCATTAAGAGCGATCCTCGACCCTGGGAGGGCCTGAGCAGGTGAGCAGACAACAGCCCCTCCAGCACAGTGGCCTCTGAGAAAGAGCCCAGGAAACCTCATCATTTCTCCTCCAGCAAACTGCCACCCCCCTCCGTTCAGCCTTCACCAAGGAGCTCCAGGTTACCACGGAGATGTGAAGGCAAAGTGACTGAGAGGGTGCAGACAAAATGCCTGGTGGGAGGGAAGAAGGTCCTAAAACCAGCCGCCTGCCACTCCAACACACCGGGGCCCAGGGCAGCCGGCCCCTGGAGGCAACACTTGACCCTCCGCCCCTGCCAAAGACAGCTTGGGTCATCCCTAAAGCACTTCTTGCCTCAGAGGGCAGCGTCCACTTCCAGACACCTCCTTGCCTAGGCCTGCTTCGGCCCCCGCTGAGCTAGAGCCCGGCCAACAGCATGCGCCTGTCCCAGGACCCCCATGCTGAGGGAGCTGCACAGAGGCTGCCCTGGGTCCCTTCCACTGACCGGTGGGTGTGTGACCTTCACAAAGCAGCGGCCTGCCACACCCCCCTCTCCCACCAGCATGCACCAAATGCCGGGACCTTAGCTTGAGGGCCTCCCGTGGCTACAAACAACCCCCTGGGAGCAGCCCAGTTCCCTCCTGCTCCCCCCAACCCGGCCACCTCGGTTCTGAAGAGAGAATGTCTCGAAGGCAGCCTGTGCACTCGGAGCACACAATACCCTGGCGGCTCAAGCTCCTCTCCTCTCTTCGCAAACAAAGAAACTCCCAACTTGTCCCTCCAGCAGGGGCTAGCGCCCCCCTGGGCCGAGACACCGCTGCCCAGACCAGATGCCCCAGTCTGACCGGCCCCTGCTGACCCCCCTCCAGCCCCAGGGCTGCCACGCCTGCAGGCACAGCCTTGTCACTTTCTCTCCTTAACAGCATCTCCAGGAAGTTGCCCACTGCCTCCCAAGCTAAGTCTTGGGGAGGGGGTGCCTGGACGCTTCTAGCCTGGCCCTTCCATTTCCAAGCCACCCTGCCCCTGGCGGCCCCAGACTTCAACTCCAGGCTGGAAGCTGGCCAGAACAGGGGCAAACACAGATCCAGCCACTCGTACCTCCTCCCTTCCCTGCCGCCACCCCCCCCCCGCCACCTTGCCGGCCACATGCCAGCCCACTCCAAGGCAGCCCCCAGAGGTGGGAAGCTCTGGGAAGCTACACCACCTCCCAGGAGAGGGGGCCTGGGTTACCATAGGTGCAGTTACAGCAGAAGCGAATGATGAGGAGAATTTCCATGGCAGCCTCCGTCCCAGCGGCTGGAGCTTGTGGCCATCGCTCGGTGGCTCCCATCAGCAGCCCGGCCACTCAGCCACCTTGCCCGCTGCTGCTGCACAGCCTGAACCAAGCAGCCGCCTCAGAGCGCTCCTCTAGCAGGGGGAGGGGCGGGGCGGGGAGGCGCGCGGGGAGAGGAGGGGGGGAGCGCGCTGGCTGCTGGCATCCTAAGGAGGGGCACGTTTGTAGCTGGCCGGCTGCCTAGGGACAGAGGCTGGATTCCTCGCATTTGTGCACCACACACACACACACACACACACACACACACACACACTCCCATGCACATGCTCACACAAGCAGGGCACCATAGTCTACAAAGCAGACAAAGGAAGGTGACGATTATCCAGCCCGCTCCCCAGAGTACCTTCCATAGTGACTGATGTGTGGCTGTCCTTGGAGTCCTTGGGACCTTTCACTTTGAGTTCCTGCCGAACAGAGGGGAGGAATCACTATGTGGCCTGCCCCCTGAACCTCCCCATCCCCCATCGTAGGCAGAGCAGGAAGAAGCACTCTGAAACCCAGGGTGCAAACAGGAAGACAAAGACCAAAGCACAGGTCTCCCCCTGACTCAATGACTCCAGACTCCCTGTGCCGCACCCATGATCTCCTGGAGCCCCATGCAGTACTGAGGAGGCTGCGTATAGGCGGGAAGGAGGGGTTCTGGGTACCAGAGAGGTCTGGAGCAATGGTGCTCCTCGGACACGCCCCCTAACACCCCTCCCCGGTGACTCCGAGGGCCTTCCAGAGAGGCGGCAAGAGCGGGATCCCCCAGCAGCAGCCACTATTTAGGGGTCTGTCCACCATCAGCCCAGGGTACATGGGATTTCAGAGGACAAACAGCAGGTGTACCAGCACCTTAGGGTGTGAGCAGCCCTGGAGATAAGGAGCGAGGGGTCCTTTGCACCTGGGGCAGAGACTGAGCTCCACAGGGCAGTCCCACCTAGATCCTACCCCGATTGAGAGGGATTCACCCAGCCCCCAACCCCACCTGCCACCCCCCACCTACAGGTGCCTGTGCTAGCATCAGGGAGGAAACTGCAAGGGAGGAAGAGGCCACACCCCTCCTGGTCCCCAAGCAAAGTGACCCGGAGTAAGCGCCGGAAAGAGACTCTAGGGATTGCTTATCTGATCCTCTTTTCTCTGCCTTTAGAGAGGTTCCAGCTCTAGCCCTTGGCAACAGACCACTAGGGCCCGCAACAGGAGCTGTAACGCAATCCCCATTTGCAGGGCGGAGTGCATGGAGGGGGCCTCCAAGTGGGGCGTCAGCAGGGAGGCCAGGGTGAGGGGAGGCCAAGGTCAGGAACCCAGGGGATGTTGCCTGCTCTGCCTGGAAGGGGGGACATGCCCAGGCAGCAGGAGCTCCACATTTCCTACTCCTGCCTCAAGCTGTTTCTGGACAGAGAAAACCCTAGGGACTGAGCTTGGGAGTTGGGGTGGGGAGAAGGGTCCCTGGCAGGTGTGTCCCTGGTGGGTGTCTGGATTCCTGGCTTCAGGAAACTTGCCTCCGTGCCCCCCTCCAGTGTAGCCTAGAGGTATGACATCGCTCCGGCTGCAGAGGAGAAGGGCCCTAATTGCAGTAATTAAGTAGAAGTGCCAGTATGAAGCGACAGCGTCAGCGCATGAGTCAGGGTGAGAAGCCACCTGGCAGCAGGCCAGGGGGCCAGCTCTGCCGCTGGGGCCGGCAGGCTGGGAGAGGGACTCGGGAGGAGTGCAGGGGTTTCTGCCAACCAGAGAATGGGCAGTCAGCCTAGGCTAAGAGGAGGCTCACCACTCTCTGGACCAGACATAACCCTGGGCAGCCTTGGACACATATCAGGCGGATCCAGTTTGTTCCCAGGGAGGGCTGGGAGCCATGAGGGGAAGCACCATTTCTCCGGCCTTGTGACTCCACGTAGAGGGACTTCCCCACCCATCTCCGTCCTCCCAGGCATAGGGTGACTCACCTGATGGCTGCGGCTGGGAGAAGAAACAGAGCTTAGCTCCCTGTTTCCATCCCCGGTAGATGTGTTTCATGGTGGAGGGCAAGTGTTAGCAAGCCCAGTGTGCCTACAGATCCCAGTCCACATTTTTCCAACCCGGCTTTTACTAGTAATCGAGCTGACATTTTCATCTCCCTCTGTCCAACTTGTGTGCTGCCTCTCAGCTGATTCCAAACTGGAGCAGAACCCATAACCCCAGGAGTCTCACCAACACTACCCTGCATCCCACCAACTTTTCTAGCATCAGAGCAGAGATGGGAAAGCAAAAGATCCAGAGAGGCCTGTAAGGCAAAATTTCCAAAGCTGCAGGAGGAGCCCTCCCTGCCCTGGAACCAGAAGTTCTCCTGCCCCAAACTTGGAGCTGGGGCTGTGACTGCCAAGGCCAGTAGCTTGGGGAGCTCACGGGGATCATTTTGGCCCAAGACGGAGGCTGTGCTGTGCTCCTGGAGATTAGAGCTCCTCCCTGCCACTTCCTGAAGAGGCAATGGCAGCCAATGACACAGCTTGCCCTGCAGAGGAGCATGGAAGGAAGGCTTGGCTGCAGCAGCAGGGACAGGCAAGCTTCCAGCCAGAGAGTGTAGGGCTGCTTCTCACAAACGGCCCTGGTCCTCTCTCTGTCGTACAATTGTAAGGATCTTAAAAGACTACCTAGTCCAGACCACTTCCAATCTTTCTGATCATAAAAATCACCCGGAAAGCTTGTTAAAAATAGACTCCTGGGTCCCACCCCAAACCCTCTGAATTAAAGCTCCAAGGAAGGTGTCTGGAGATCTGCATTTTAAACAGTGCCCCTGGTGGTTCTTATCAAGCAAGCTGGGGGTGAGCTGAAGAATCCAGACACCTCACTTGACAGAAGAGGAAATAAGGCCAAGAGAAGGGAAGTGACTGGCTCAAGGTCACCACAGTGTGAGAATATTGCCTTTTTTCTTTTTTGTCTCCTCTGTTCTAATATAGAATAACCTAAATAGAATAACAAAATCAAACACATCGTTATTCTTATATTAAGAGGGAAAATATCAAGTGCGAGAAAGCAAATGTCAGTCTAAGTTGTTATCCTCAGGGGAACCATTTCCCTAACCGGCAACAGGCCTGGAGGCTGGAAGGCAGGGGCCGTGCAGGGAGCTGCCCACCTCAGAGATCTTCTGGAACTGGTTGTTGGATTGGCTGCACTTCTCAGCTGTCTCCAGAGCGACTTTGTAGTTATCCACAAATGCTTTGTACACGCCAAGCTGGCTGGCCTGCAGGGAGAAGAGGAGAGAAAAGGGAGGGTAGTGGGATGGGGGACAGGATTAATGAATGGATGGAAGCGTAAGCAGGGCACCTGGAGCTCCCTTAGCACTTGGAACCTCTAACTTTGCTCCAAAGGGCTACGCTGGAACAGAGGGGAAAGGCAGGATGAACATACTACAGTATCTCTTTGAACTTGACAGTTTCCATGGAAACCAGCTCAGCCAATAAGGTTAACAATAGGGTACTGGGGGTTGGGGGAGCAGGGGGCAGGGCCTTTGTTGGCATGCTAGAAATTCAACAGCATTTGGCTTTATTTAGCATCATAAAGGTCTCCCAGGGTTTGAAGCCCCTTAAGGCCTCACACGTCTTTCACATCCTGGAATTAGCTGGAGCAGGGAGGGCACGCGTGGCCTGCTCAGTACCCCACTCCCCATGCTGAGTGTAAGGCACAGCATTTAAAGGTGCAGTCCCGGGGGTGCCTGGCTGGCTCAGGCGGTGGAGCATGTGACTCTTGATCTCGGGGTGTGGGTTCGAGCCCCATGCTGGGTGTACAGATCACTTACAAAAAGAGGTGCAGGGGCGCCTGGGTGGCTCAGTTGATTAAGCGACTGCCTTCGGCCCAGGTCATGATCCTGGAGTCCCGGGATCGAGTCCCGCAGTCCCTCATCGGGCTCCCTGCTCAGCGGGGAGTCTGCTTCTCCCTCTGACCCTCTTCCCTCTCATGTGCTCTCTCTCTCTCTCTCTCAAAATAAATAAACAAATCTTTAAAAAAAAAAAAAAAGAGGTGCCGTCCCCACTTCCCTTGGCCTCCCTCAGTTCCTGTCCCCTCATCCTCAGCCTCTTAAGGAGCCAGAGACCCTACCTGCCTCAGTACACATTTGCATGTGGCTCTGAACCTAACACAAATTTAATTCCTCAAATATTTATGGAAAGTCTTCCTGTGCTTTGCATATGCATTTCCTCTTGAGAGAGTAAAGGGTGGAAATGTGAATTAAAAGCACAGTGAGATACTATTTCATCCCCATCAATCTGGCCAAAATTTAAAAGTCTAATGATATCAAGGGTTGGCAAGAATGCAGGGGAAATTAGAGCTTTTATAGACCACTCACGGGGATGTGAGGCCTGTTATTTGGACAGTAATTTGTCAATAACTGATAAAGCCGAAAATATGCACAGCTTGGCCTACTCCTTAGCAAAACCACTTCTACATACAAACCCCAGAGCTCTGGGGTTCCGTTCAGGAGTCAGTCACTACTTGTAGTAGGTGAGCACCTGAGATGTGGCTAGTCCAAATTGAGATGTGCCCTGTGTGTGTGTGTTTTAGAGAGGGAGATGGGGCAGAGGGAGAGGGAAAGGGAAAGAGAGAATCTTAAGCGGGCTCCATGCCCAGCTCGGAGCCAGACACGGGGCTCAATCTCACAACCCCGAGATCATGACCTGAGCCGAAATCAAAAGTCGGACGCTTAACCAACTAAGCCACCCAGGTGCCCCAAGATGTGCTCTAAGTATAAATACACATTGGATTTCAAGGGCTTAGTCTGTAAAAGAGAATGTAAATTATCTTATTAATTTTTAAATATTGATTACACGTTGAAATGACAGTATTTTGGATCTCTTGGGCTAAATACATATTTTTTAAAAATACATTCTTAAAATTAATTTCATGTACTTATTTTTACTTTTAAGTATAAGGCTGCTAGAAAATTTAAAATTATATGTGGCTTGCATTACAGTTCTGCTGGAAGCACCGCTCTAGAGAAACTTGCATATGTATGTAGACCCAAGGAGATGTGAGCAAGGGGATTCACTGCTTCACTCTTCCTCCTGTGGAAAGACTGGTAACAGATGCTCACAAACAGGGGAATTCATACTCACACAGTTAAATGAATGAACGAGATCTATAAGTAGTAACACTACCAGTTCCTAAGCAACTGTTGATCGAATTGCAAAATACACAAAATACATACATTTAAAAAGTACACGTAATGCCATAAAAAGATACAGATACATAATAAAAATACAAACTGCAGCCCAAGAAGGCAACACACCAAATTCATTCCAGTAGCTGCTTCCGGGCTGAGCAGAAGGGCACGGGGAAGGGAGAGAGAGACTTCATCTATAATGCTTTGTTTTCTTGATTAAAAAGTCTTTCTATCTTCAGAGCTTAACATCCCTTAATTCCGGGAGAGGAGGGCACAGTTGTTTGCTACATGTATTCTCTAGAATTTCTGGTTTAAATATTTTGCAATGAAGTAGCGAAGGAGGTTCAGCTGCTACTGGGCTTCCTCCGGGGATCCCACCACAGTGCTGGGGAAAGCGGGCTGCCCGTGAGACCCACCCTGGACCACTCTGCTTTTTGCAGAATCTTTGTGCTCCTCCAGATCCCAAACAGGTGGGGCAGGTGGAAGGTGGCAGGCAGGAAGGTGGCAGGTGGGGGGCCAGGAAGGCCAGAGGGGAAAATGAGAACTGGGATGCTTGCAGAAAAGCCAAGGCCAGAGCCGTGCAGATCTCAGCCCCAGATGGGCCAGACTTGGCAAAGATGAAAAATCTGGGGGGAAGTGCAGGAAGGGATGAATTCAATGGCTTTTCCAGGGGGAGTACTGGTCCCCCGGTGTCCCAAGCTACAGGGGAGGTGCTAGACAGTTGCTTCCTAAACCAAAGTAAAAATCATTCCTTTTCTTCTTCCGGGGATGTGCTCTCCTTGTCCCCCTTTCCCTTAAGAACATAAGGGCTGGCTGCCCAGGTTGGAACACTATCCTCCCATCCCATGGCCCAAGGGGGTAGCAGGAGGTGAGTCAGAGCAGGAGCCACCTGGGCAGAAGGCCCGCGCACAAGGTCACTGACCATCCCAGGCGCTGCCATCTCCACGGTGTAGCCTCGTCTGTAGAGCCTAAGGCCGGCCTGCCATGGCCATTAACTGCCAAGTGGAGGTTGCTTGGAAAACAGCAGCCTGGCACTGGGGTGATCTCATAAAAGAAATAGCAGAGATGCTAATTCCCTTCCCTCAGTAATGGAGACCAGCTGAAAATAAACTACCTCCAGATGCCTGGACCGCCCGGGCTCCTCCCCAGCCCTCCCAGGCCTGCAGCTCCAGCGGCTGCGGGTAGCAGTTCACACTGCTGGGGGGAGGGAAGGGAGATAGCAAATTCACGACCCAGGACTGCGGAGCTGAATGGGGGACGCTGGTGACAGCAGGGTCCGAGTGACAAACATAAATTGGGACGGACTTTTTCCACTGTGCTCTGGCCTATGCACCCCCACTCCCCTCACCCCCCCACCCCCGCCTCTGGTTTGCTCTCTTATGCCCTCCCGAGGGCTGATCAGCTCAGGCTCCCGGGACCAGGCCGGGAGTGATGACTGGGTATGCACGGTCCCTGAACTGGGGCAGGTACTCCAGGGCTGCTGGACCCAGGAGTGTGGGGTTCCCCTGCAATACCACCTTCCGGGGTGCCTCTCGCTAACCATAGCAACAACAACGATGATGGTGGCAGCAGTGATGGTAATAACAGTAATGCTAATGGCTGACTATTGAGTATTTACTAATTTACTCTGTTCTGGGCCCGATTCCAAGCACTTTTCGGGTATTAACTCACATAGTCCTCACAACAGTTCAATGAGGTAACTACTATTATTATCCTCTTTTTTACAGATGAGGAAGCTGAGTCACAGAGAGGCTGTGCCCAAAGTCACAGGTTTAATCTGTGGCAGAGGCAGGATTCAAAGTCAGCTGTGGCCGGGGCGCCTGGATGGCGCGGTCGGTTAAGTGTCTGACTCTTGCTTTTGGTTCAGGTCATGATCTCAGGGTTGTGAGATGGAGCCCCGCTGTGAGCCCCACACTGGGCTCCACACTCAGTGCAGAGTCTACTTGGGAGTCTCTCTCCCTCTCCCTCTGTTCCTCCCCACCTTCGTGTGTATGCTCGATCTCTCTCTCTAATAAATAAATAAATCTTAAAAAAAAAAAAAAAACCAAAAACCCCAAAGTCAGCTGTGGCTCTAGAAGCTATATTTGTCCCTACAACACTGTTGGCCTCTTGGGACACAGACCTCAGGCCCTGTGATGTCCCCCTCAATGCCTTCCAAGTTCTCCCTAGTCACAGTGGTCAAGGTCATGGTGCATTCGTTCATTCGTTCGTTCATGTGTTGAGTACGGGGCTGGTTCTGGGGTCTACTGATGAAGAAAATACAGTCTGTTCTCCCAGAGCTTATGGTTTTAGGGACACAGGAGGTTACCGTTTTCACTGAGGGGATAAGCATAGGGGCTGCATTTGAAGGTTGGGGGAAGGCTTCTCCAAGGAAGTCACTTCTAAACTGGAAGCAGTTGGGGAAGGACATTTCAGGCAGCCAGAGCTGCAAGAACAGAGAGGTCAAGAGTGTCTGCTGCATGAACTGAGAATAGAAAGTTCAGGGTCAGGGGGCACAAGGACCGGGGAAGCAGCAGCTAGAGACCAGCCAGAGGCCTGGACAGAGGCCAGCATGCAAAAGGTCTCATAAGCCATTCCTCAGAGCCTGGCATTTATCCAACGGGCAAGAGGGAGCCACTGAAGGGATTTAAGTAGGGAACAAGCTAGGTCCGGTCAGGGGTTCGGATAACTCTCTTCTGCTGCTAGGTAGAGGTGGGGGGCTGATGGGGAGGCGGGCCTGGAGGTAGGAGCCACTCCTGAGGTGAGGGCCCCAGAGGCGGCAGGGAGAGGTAGGCAGCAGTGAGCATCCTCTGGAAGTGGGGATGCGGAAGGGGGTGGGGCAGGGGAGGTGCCAAGGACTAGTCCAAGGGAGTCATGGCTGGACGGGGGTTGGGATGGTGGCAGCACCCACAGACACAGAGGCAGGAAGAAGAGCAAAGAACTCCTGAGACAATAAGTTCAGTTCTGAACATGCTGTGAGCTTGAGGCCCTAGGAGTGAGTATCCAAGCAAGAGTTTTCTCCGGTGTAAGGAAAGTACAGGCCTGTCCATTCAACCAGTCCCACCACGGCAGGGGAGCTAAAGGAGAAGCGCTGCTCCCTGCCCACCACCATCCACACCCAGAGAACAAAGACCACAGACTGGCAGTCTCCTTGCTGCCTCCTGGGCTGGCAGAAGTTATGGGCAGGGAAAGATCAGGGAAGAGTGGGGTTGGGGGCACAGTGGGTCTGACCTAGGGGGTCCTCCAGGGGACATAGCCAGAGACAGTCTCAGAGCTAGGCCCAGGGCCCCAGACAGCAGAGGGCCAGGCTTTCCTCCAGGGCTCAGAAATGACCCAGGCCTTCAAGGAGGCCAAGAAGGCTGGGGATGCCTGGACGTCTCCCAACACCAGCAGCTCCACGGAGGCACTGTATAAGGACTGTCCGTCGATGGAAGACTCACCAGCTTCTGGAAGAGGTGGCCCATGGTGACCTGGCTGTCCCACTGCTGCACCTTGGGGCAGAGGTTGTCATAGAACTCCTTGTGGATCTCATAGATGTCCTGGATCTTGTAGAAGATGGTCTCGATCTGTTGGATGGTGAGCACGGGCTGGGAGGTGGTGGCTGTGGCCTTCAGGGGTTTCATGGGCTGGGAGCCAGGAAGGAGAAAAGAGAAGGTGAGGGGCAAGAAACCAGATGGACCACTGATTTGCCCTTCCCACGAATTCGCTGATTCGCCCTTCCCGCAGCTGGAGTGGTGCCCAGACAAGGCCACGGAGGGCAGGGCACCTGAAGTGTGGTTTGCATCAAGTTGCTGCTGTCATAGGTTCCAACGAGCGATGCCCTACTGCAAGGAGGGGGACCCTGACAGCCAGGGCCTGGTCCGGCAGCCCTCCCAGGCCCATGGGTTAATGCCAGGACACATTTCCCCCATGCCCTTGTTGCCCAAGGGGTCCCCGGCCCCCAGCCTGTACTGGGTTCACTTATTGGTTTAACAGGATCCATGCCTTTCTTCCACGGTGGCCTCATGTGTTGAGTTACCAGCTCCCTTGTCACACGTCCGTGGAAGGGAGGGTTGACTGGGAACTTGAGCCCTGAGCTATTTCCTTCCAAGAAACAACATGATTCTAGGATTTGGCGGTAGAGCCTCAAAGAAACTCAAGCCCAATCTCAGCTAGACTGACATTTCAAGTTCCCATCCCTTAGTATAGGGAGAGCGAGCAGGTGGCACAGATGCCACAGTCCTACCTCCTGTACCCATGGCAGACATTACTAGTCGATCACAGCGCTCTTTCTCACTGAGCCTGGTCCTAGTCTCAGACCCTCCATGCTGAGGTTGACATGTGAGATGAACCTTATCTGTCAACTCAGCTTATCTCCACCAAGATGCTCCAGGGGCTACAGGTGGAGTGGATGCAGTGACAAGCAGTAACTCAGGACCACTACCTAACACTGGCGGGGAGCTGCAGCTGTCCCCTTAATGCCCAACAGTAGGACTGTAGGAGACTGTAGGAGAATGGGACCTGGGTACATTTTCTTCAGTGTGATTTTCTGTATTTTCTAAATCACCTAAAATGAGTAAATATTAATTTTATAATCAGGGGGGAAAAAGCTATTAAAATTCATAGTTGAAGCAAAAAAACATCCTGATATCAAAAGATGAGGAACTCTTCCTTGACTGGCTTTCCCTCAGCCCCAAAGCCCCCGAAGATGCCTAGACTGCCCTCCAGAGGCCCTCCAGGGGACAGGGTCTGAACAACTGCCACCTAAGAGAAAGTATGGGATGGGCAGGCACATTTACGCAGAAGAGAGAAGCCTGAGTCAGACGTGGTTAATGTTCTTCATCTAGCTGAAGGGCTGTGTGGAAAGAGGCCTTTGACTTAGTCTGAGTCACTCTGGAAACCCAGGAACAGCCAGGAGAAGTCATGGCAGGTATGGACTCACTAGAGCTGACCCTCATTACCTCATGGGATTGGTTCCAGCCAGAGAAGCATTCTAGCTGATAACGGGCGACTCAGTGCTGGACTGGATGGAACAGTGACATTAACAGAGGCCAGAGTTATCCCTGGCTCAGCCTGAGAGAGGACCAGCAGCTCAAGCCACCACAGCAGCCAACTTCCAGCCACGCTTCCTGCTCTCCTCCCTGCTGCCTCTGCTGGTGGTGGGGCCTCGTCTGTCCATAAGAGGAAGCCCATCTACCCAAATACCCAGATGATGCTCTGACTTCCAGCTCCCTTGTCCTCCCAGCTCTATAAAGTCCAGAAGGGAGGATAAAGGCAGGGAAAAGCAGAGCCCTCCTTCTGAACCTCCTAGTGCTGGAACCAACTAACCCTAACGTCCAGGCTTTGCTAGGGCAGTAGGATGGGGTTTTCCTTAGTGCAGGCCAAGAGGTGTGGGTTTGAGTCTCAGCTCTGCCACTTAATAGCTGTGGGCACGTCACTTAGCATCTGGGCCTCAGCAGCCTCATTTGTAAAACTGGGATAATATTACCTTCTCAAGAACACTGATGGGAAGATCAAAAGCCATAATTTATATAAAATATCAAGTATGTGCCTGGTACCCAGAAGGCAGCCAAAAATGTTAGCTGCCACCATTATTATTATTCACCCCACAAATAATGTACCAAGTGCCTAATGTGAGGCCAGACCAGGTATTCAGTGATTCACCACACACGTCCAATCCCTGCCCTGTGGAGCCTCCCGTCCAGTAGGCGAGACAGACAAAACACAAGGAAACTGTCAAACACATTATTTCCACCTAAATGCAATGAAAATAGTAAGAAGGAGACCTCCTGAGCCAGGGTGGGGAAGGACAGCTTCTCCCAGAAGGGAACATTTACCCTGAAATGGAAGCCTGGGGGCTCAGAGCACCGTATTCCTCAACACCGGTCCCAAGGTGGGCATGGGCTTGGTGAGAGAGAGGAGCTGGAGAAAGCCAGGGAGCCCAGGTGCAGTGGGCAAGGGGCAAGGGGGAGGAGCAGGGCCAAGGCAGGGCTGGAGGACCCGGCAGGGGCCAGACCAGGCAGGGGGAAGGAATGTCGCTTTTAAGCCCTTGCAATGACCCAGCTTTCCCTGAAGGGATTTAGGCAGGGGAGTGATGGGGGGCCAATTCTCTTTTCGGGAGATTATTTTTCTGACTCATGATCCTTGCTCTGGAGAACATCATGATCCATTTGGGTAAACTGGACCAACACACATGAAACAATGTAGTACACAAAGCCAGATAGGGCATTACCCATCTTGGGCTGTAAATACCAACCAAGTGGTCCCAAGGTTGTGCTGGTACAGCTCAGGGGCTTCACAGAGGAGGTGCCAGGAACTGGGCCTCGAAGGTTGGGGAGGTCTGAGCAGGTGGAGGGTGGGGCGTGGGTAAGCACGCGAGGCAGGGAAACAGAAGGAACCAGGAGCCAGAGGAAGGGCACACTGTTCTCCCAACCCCAGGTGGGTGGTCCCACTCAGCTTCAGGGCTCCCAACATTCTGTGAAGGATACAGAGCTGTTCCTCAAGATCGCTGTCCTAGTTTATCCTTTTTTCCTACCCCCAACCCTGGCCCCCAGAGCCAGTGGAGGGACAAGTCAGCACAGGGTCCCAGAACCTCTCCTCCTCACTCCTGCCTGGGTGCCATCCCCACACAGAGGGGAATAAAGTACCTAGGGCGGGAACAGCCCTGGAAAGATGAAGGGTCAGGACTTCTCAGAGGCTGTTGGGTAAGCACTCCTCGGCCACCTAGGCGAAGACAAGACCCAACTACTCCGCTTCCTCCTCAACTTCCCACTCTGTCTACAAAAAAGGAAGAAATGGGTGCTCACCAGCAGTGGGTCACGTGGACGGGGCCTGCACTCGGGCCGTCAGAGGGTTCTCTGGACAAAGTTGGGGACCTTTGGTCTCAGCCTTGATTTCGCTTGGGGGGGAAGGGAAAGTGGGGGGCGTGTGTGAGCCCGAGCTGGCCAGAGACCCTTGAAGGCAGTTACTTTTATCTGGTGAAGCCCTGAATCCAGGCCTCAGGGCCAGATGGCTACAAGGCAAAAGCAACTCAACACTGAGCTCAGATCCAACACTGTTCTTCAGCCCGAGTGCTAGCATACTTCTACCTCCTCCCAGAATCCTGCTGCAGAAAGCAAGGCTAGCCCATTTCATCAGGGGAGAAATGGATGCTTAAAAAAAAAAAAGAGGATCACTGAGTGATCTGGGAGTCAAGCCTGGCTCTCCATTTTCCACAAAGGGCTTCTCAGGAAGAAGGGCCAGGTGGGTTCTGACTCACAGTGGGACTTCACACAGCCATCTGTCGGCTCTGTCCCCCAGCAACCTGCCTTTCGAAACAGGGGAAAGAAATCAGCCCACTTCCTCCACCTCCTATCCCAGAAGGCCTGGAGGCTGCTAACGTATCACCTCAGTTACTCCTCCTCCCGGAACCCAGGGAGGGAAGCATCATTAACCTATTTTAGCGATAAGGAACCTGAGAACCCCAAAGCAAACTGCCAGAATGAGAGGCTGAGAAAGGGGGGCCAGTGGGGCCTAGCGATGGGAAGTCCTGTAACAGTGGCCAGAGGCAGCCCCTGAGCTCACTTCCTACATTGCCCGCGGTAGGTGAGATGCAGAATGACACGCATTTGGTTTGTCTCCCTTCCTCCACGCCCCACTTTGGCCCACTCCGTTTGTAATCTGAGCCAACCAGGAACCCAGAAGTTTCCATATTACCAAACCTTGCCCCAGCCAACAACCCGGGGGCAGGAACAGAGGCTCTTGTGTGGGTCCCAGCTGTGCCTGTGTGCGCACACAGTCTTGGGTACACGCACCACACACACCCATCCATCTGCATATCAGGAAGTGTTAAGCTGAGGACAGTCTAACAAACACGGTAGGAGCAGAGCCGGGGGAGGGGGGGAATGAGTAGGAGATTTGGGAGTGGGCCACGGAGGGGAGAGATTTTCTTCCCCAGGGCCCCTTGGTCAGATCACCCCGCAAAGAGCAAAGAGCTCTAGCAACCAGGCAGCTGTGAGGGGAGGGCTCCCAGCTCAAGGAGGGGGGTGGGGAGGCTTGATTCCTTATCTCTGAGGTTCATTATCTGAGGCTGTGGCTGTGGAGGGTCCTGCCCCCTCTTCCCGGGGCCCACCAGGGCGAGCACAGACCAGGCCTCCCAGCTGGCCTCTCCCCTCCCTCCTCCTGCCTCTGTTCAAGGAAGAACCAATCAGTGGCCTGCAATGAACAAGCTGGGGGCAGGGGGAGCAGAGGGAGGTGTCTTGGGTGGCCTCAGGACTAGGGCCCCAGCCTCACAGGTTTTGCCTTTGAGTCATGAGCTATTAGAAAGGCGAGGCAGGGAGGCAGTGTCTTGGGCCCTACTTCTGTTGTTATCTTTGCCCGGCCACATGGAAACTCACATTAGGCCCAATGACTGATGAGAAGGCACCTTGGAATCTATGAGGGGCTGGCCTCCTCCGAGGACGCGCCTCCCCTTCCTTTGGGGAAAGGCTGTGTTGACAGAAACAGGCTCCAACCTGCGTCTCTCTCAGCACTGGTCAAAATAATAGCAGCAGCTAATGCTTTAGTCTCTGTCCTAAGAGCTTCACATACAAACTCATTCTGTCCCCACAACAACCCCACGAACAGAGTACTAGTATCAGGATCCGCAGTTTGCAGCTGGAGAAAATGGGCCACGAGGGTTCACGAACGTGCTGAAGGGCTCGAGCTCGAAAGCGGTCAAGCAGGGATTCTGACAGGCGGTTTGGGTCCTCTGTTGGAACTCCTCTCAAACGCGCATCCTTTTAGTAATGACAACAACGCCCCCTCCATTTGCTATGGCAAATTCACCATTTCTGCGGTGTACTTCACATGTGTCTGACGGGTCCCTCTGCTTGTCCTTAGCTAATCTGAGTGCCTGGGTCCCCAAAAGGATCACCTGATCCTCTCAACCCCGTGAAGAAGACAGAGAAGGTCATGGGATTAGTCTCATCTTCAGATGAGGAAGATGAGGCTCAAGGAGATTATTCATGGCTTGCCCAAAGCCAGTGGTTTTCAAAACGACAGTACCCGCAAGAAAGAACGTGGCCCAGTACATACATATATATACACATATACAGGCAACAAACCCAAAGTTAGGTGAAACAGTACTTATTCTTACCATGTGTGATGCACACTGGTATTTTTCTTTCTCATTTAATAAAAAAATGCGGGTTCAACCTACGTTGATTTCACAATGCACTAATGGGTTCAGATGCAGGTATGAAAAACAGAGCCACGAGTCTATGATTAATGGCAGAGTCAGGTCTTGCCCTAATTCTGGCCCCAGATCGCAGTCCCTGTCTATCTGCCACCCTGTCCATCACTTGAAAAACATTGCTGTGCCTACCGATAAACTCCCAGTGACATCTACCACAAACTGAGCCCAGGCTGTCACAAAGTATCTGCACATTTCTTCTCTTTTTCTTTAAGATTTTTATTTACTTATTTGAGAGAGAGAAAGAGAGAGTGTGAGCAGGGGGAGGAGCAGAGGGAAAGGGACAAGCTAATGTGAGGCTCGATCCCACGACCCTGAGATCATGACCTGAGTCGAAATCAAGAGTCGGATGCTTAACCCACTGAGCCACCCGGGTGCTCCAAAGTATCTGCACATTTAGTTATTCCTTGGGTAATAAATGCCAAGGTCTCTGGGACCCTGGGTGACAACATCTCACACCACAGCAAGTACATAAGTGTGTACTTTACAATTCTTGTAGGGATGAGTTTCTACTCATCTACATCTACATTTCTTATTCCCCATGTCTCAGGCTGCAAAACACCCAGGGGGAAGAACTTTACATTCCCTACTTACTCTGCATAAGATCTAGCCGCATCTAATGAGCACTTTCTTCAAAGGCAAAAACGCCTTACATCTGTGTAGTACTTTTGCCTAATGTTAATAATATTTCCCTCCCAGTCTGAGTCTCACAATGCCTCCATCTTGGGAGGAAACTGAGGCACCTTCACAGAGGGCCGGGGCTGGTCTAATGCCTCAGAGCCATGGTGTTTCTTAAACGATACAGGAACCCTTCCACCTCACATTTCCTGCCACGGGGCCTGGGGATGGCCACAGCTCACTACTCCTGGGAGGAGGAAGGACTGGGAGCAGGGAATGACGGAGAGGACTCAGCTTGACTGACTGGTAGAGACTGCCCAGAGCACAGTGTGGAGGCGGAGGCTGGGCCCCCACCCGGACTCCCACCTGGACAGAGTGCCGTCAATGATTAGCGATGCCTGTGCATGGTCATGGGCCATGGGAGGGTTCGCCATCTCCAACCTGGTTGTGCTTCTCCCGCCTTTCCCAGGGCACATTTAGGGTCTGAGAGGCACAGGCCCCTTTCTGGCAATGACCCCAGCCCAGTGCCAACTGGTCAGCAGGGCAGTGCAGATTCTGCCCACAGGGAAGGACTGGTCCAGGTCCCCTTTCTTCTCCAACTCCAAAGGGAGTTTCCGAGCGTGACACTGACCAGCAAGCCAGAGCATATATACTCACCAGCAGCAAGGCTTCCAGCTGGTTAATGTAGATCTCTTCGCTGGCCAGGAACCCCGAGAGAACCAGCTTCCTCATCTCCAGGCCTTTCCCTGCTTCCACCTGTAGGAAAGCAAACCAAGAGCCAACAGTTCATGAGAAAGGAGGCTAACATCCTGAGTGACCTGTTTTCTTGCCTTTTTCTTCCTCTTTCACTAACACTTTTATAGGGAATAGAAGCCAAATATATTAATTATAATTTGGAAAATACAGAATAAAAAAAGGAAAAACACCCATATTTCTGCTGCTAACATATTGCTTTCTCTCCCACATTCTTTTTCCCACATTTCCTTATTTGTCGTCCATCCATCCACCTATTCCATCTTGTAATAGTGGGCAGGATAATAAAGGACCTGGCCTCACGTGTAGGGGCAGTTTAATGGGGGAATATAGATAAGGGAAATCAGAGGGACGCCTGGGTGGCTCAGTCATTTAAGCAGTGGACTCTTGATTTTAGCTCAGCTCTTGATCTTGGGGTCGTGAGTGCAAGCCCAGAGTTGAGCTCCACGCTGGGTGTGGAGCCTACTTAAAAGAAAAAAAAAAAAGAAAAGAAAAGAGAAAAGAAAAGAAAAAAAGAAAGAAAGAAAGAAGGGAAATCACAGCCATGACTGAGGCAGGGCATGGTCACATAGGAGGACCCAACAGGGGCTGGAAGAGGTTCCTGGAGGAGTATAAACTGAGAAGAGGGACAGAGAGGATGAGGTGAAGTGGCCATGGGAGCCCCATCTCGTGGGGGCTCTGGCTACACCTCTGGCTATATCTTTCTGTCCCCGAGGGCTCAACCCCACAACAGAAGGTGCTAGCTGTGGGGTCCTCAGCCCCACAGCCCCTGTCCCCCCCAGCATTTCCTGACTGCCTCACTGTGCAAGGCACATATCCTAACTGGCCTCCTCCCCACTGCAGAACTTCTTCTCCTCTATGGTGATCACGCCCCATTTAGCCTTGAAAAGTCCATCTTGCTAATCTCTTACAAGGACTGTGTTCCACCCCCGCCTTCTGCTGTGGGCCTTGGCTCTGCAGCCCAGATTCTTCTAACTGACCTCCGCCTCTCTCTCCTCCCTTCACACCACACACCAGAGCCAGGTTAACCTTCTGAGAACACCACCTTACACCTGATGCTTATCAGGAACTTAATATCAATACTGTAAAACCTTGCCATTTCCAACGACATGCACGGATCTAGAGGGTGTAAAGCAAACTGGAATAAGGCCGTCGGAGAAAGACGAACACCGTACGATTTCACTCGTATGTGGAATTTAGGAAACAAAACACACAAAGAGAAAGAGACAAACAAAAAACCAGACTCTTAACTATAGAGAACAAACTGATAGTGGCCAGAGGGGAGATGGGGGTGGGGGGCAGTGCAGCGGGTGAAGCGGGTTAAGAGTATACTTTTCATGACTGAGTAACGTAGACAATTGTTGAATCAGTATATCGTACACCTGAAACAAATAGGATTAGTTAACTACACTGGAATTAAAAAAACAGAAACAAAAATATCAACACTGCAAAAAGTGATTATTTGGGGATTCAATTAGGTCATCCATTCATTTATTCGTTCAACAAATATTTACTAAATGCCCACCAGACTCTGTAGATACACCGGGAAGCAAACATACAATAATCCCTACTCTTACATGGTTTATAATCTAGAGGAAAGACAGTAAAAACAAAAAACAAGTAAATATAAATATATAACGATGCACTGTGATATGGGGTCTGGCTTATTCTTGGCTTAAATAACCTTTGCTGGCTCCTAGCACCTCTCCCAACTGTGCTGACCTCCCCCTGCCCACCTCCCCTGCAGCCGGCAGATCTCTGGGTCTTCCCAACCTGCCGGGAGTGTTGGGGCCTCTGCACTTTGGTTCCTGCCACCTAAGATGCCTGCTCCCGCCCTGGCTCTTCTCTGCAGCACAGACCCTCCCGCCTGCCGCGTGAGCTCTCTTGTGAACCGGCGGAGATTCGGGGGTGGGAGGCGCTCTGAAGCAATGACATCACACTCCTCTGCACATCCCTGAAGGCCAGCATCACACAATACCCCCTGCACGTGGGCACCTGACATTTACTAAGCCTTGTAAGCTCTTTTCACGCGCCTTTAGCCCTCCTATACCTCACTGGGGTGGGTACTGTATCTCTCCTGTATGCAAATGGAAGCAAACAGGACTTGGAAGAGGGAAGGGTCGAGCCCAGGGTCACACAAGCCAGGAAGTGGCCCACCTGGCATTCCATCCTAGTCCTTGAATACCAGATTCTAGGCTCTCCCACCGCTTTAATGACATCCTCGCTCACTTTTTCAAGCATTGGGTGTTTACCTGGAACCACAGAACCCTCTCTGGGCACCAGATGCATACCCTTATTCAGCACAGGCTGGGAGAATATATGAAGCTATCAGAAATTTCTGAAGTCCGGAGAAGAGTGGCTTCCCCCCAGCTGCACGACCTGCCCCACAGTGTTCCCAAAGCTTTCCCACCCTTCCCCAGGTGAGGGCCTGAATCCTTGGCCTTCCATCAGCAGCCCAGGTATCGGATCTGTGCCAGCCAGAGGCTGCTGCCCCCTGAGTGCCTGAAATGTTATCTGACCCTGTGATAGAAAAACAGTGTCCTGCCGAAGATGTCCACATCCCAGTGCCCCAAACCTATCAATACGTCACTTTGCATGGAAAAAGGGATTTTGCAGGTATGATTGAGCTAAGGATTTTTTGAGCTAAGAAATGCACGCTGTCCCCCACCTTGGCGTGAGCACAGAGCCCATGACAGTCCCTGGGTTATGTAATCTAATCAGAAGGGACTTTATGAGGGGGTGGCAAGAGGGTCAGAGTCAGAAAAAGCAATGTGACCAGAGAAGGGGAGCAGGGGGAGGGAAAAAGCCTGCAAGACTGGCTAGCTTTCAGGACCAGGATGGGGCCCGGAGCCAAGGAGTACAGGGAACCTCTAGAAGCTGGAAAAGGCCTGGGAATGGATTCTCGGCCCCAGAGCTTCCAGAAGGAATGCAGCCCTGCTGACCCTTTAAGACTTGCGTGTAAGAGAATAAATTTGTGTTTAAACCACGAAATGGGTGGTCACTTGTTTCGGCAGCATTAGGAAACCAGTGTGGACACTAAGCTTTAGGGAAGGACAATAGTCCTGTATCGACGGCTTCACACGTACCAGGCGCTGTTCTAAGACCTTTCCAGGGATTAGCTCACGACCACCCCACACTCTGGAAGGTGTTGTCATTACCCCCCACCCCCACCCCTGAGCCACAGAGTGGAAACTCCCAGCTGCCTGGAGCTGTTGGCCTTTCAGGCAGGAAGCACACCCTTCAAGGGACAAGGTCGGAGCCTGGAGCAGGGCCGCACCCCTGCCCCCCTGCCACCGGCCCCCGCGCCACGCCAGACTTGAGGTGTCCTCCGTGCACGCCACAGCAGCCGGACCAATGGGAACTCGCCTTCCATGCTGGGGGCCAGTGCGCCCCTTCGGCACCGCACCCCCCTCCTGTTCCCTGCCAACAGAAGATTCACCTGAGGGCCTGGCAAACATCTTGTAAAGGAAGTCACTTGAGGGACACTGTGAGCTTAAGTGGAGGGCTGGCTGGCCTAGGACCTGGATGAAGACCTGGTCACTGCCGCTCCCGCCACGCTGTCCCCCACCTTGGCGTGAGCACAGCGCCCGTAACAGTCCCTGCGACAGCCCAGTTCAGCAAGACCCTCTCCTCAAGAAACTCCCACCTCAGAGTCCAATCTTTTTTTTAAAGATTTTTTTAAAATTTATTTATTTATTTTTATTTTTATTTTTTTTTAGATTTTATTTATTTATTTGAGAGAGAATGAGAGAGAGAGCACATGAGAGGGGGCAGGGTCAGAGGGAGCAGCAGACTCCCTGCTGAGCAGGGAGCCCGATGTGGGACTCGATCCCAGGACTCCAGGATCATGACCTGAGCCGAAGGCAGTGGCTTAACCAACTGAGCCACCCAGGCGCCCAAATTTATTTATTTTGAGAGAGAGAATGAGATAGAGAGAGAGCATGAGAGGGGAGAGGGTCAGAGGGAGAAGCAGACTCCCTGCTGAGCAGGGAGCCCGATGTGGGACTCGATCCCGGGACTCCAGGATCATGACCTGAGCCGAAGGCAGTCGCCCAACCAACTGAGCCACCCAGGCACCCTCAGAGTCCAATCTTGAAAGAGCTCCCCAAAAGTGAACAGTCACCCCCAAGAGTCCCACTCTGGGCTACTCTCCCTCCGAAGTTTTGGCTGGCATGGGGGCGGAGGTGGTAGAGAGCTTAAGCATGTGAAATTAAGTTCTGCTCATGTTATCAACAGGAGGCCTGTTCTTGGTTACCACCAAAACCTCTTCTTCTTTTTTTTTCTTTTTTTTGCTTTCCTCATACCCCCATGTTCCTGGCTTAGAATTATCTGGAAACTCACAATTTTTTCTTCAATTCTGTGGGGCTATTCTTGTTTCATAAATGTCCACCACAGCTGGACATTCATTCATTCATTCAGCACTATGTGCCAGGCGCTGGGAATACAAATACAAAGGCGAAAGAGACGGTCTCTGCCCCCAGAGAGCCCTCCAGACGTGGTGTCCACGTGCGAGAACCCTCAGGGCCAGTTCCCCGAAGAGTTCAGGGTCCCCACAGTGTGTGCCATACTGTCAGTCCCCTAACACAGGGAAGCTACCTTCTGAGTGACACTCAGACTGTCTCCACTTCCTCCCCAAGCGAGGCTCATGAAATGCAGCCCCTGTGGGCTGGTTCACTCCTAGAAGTTCACACAATCTGCTAGGCTGAAAGTCTGTCAGCTCGAGGCCCCCAAATCCAAGAGCTCAAGTCCCTCTGATAGGGACAGTACCTACAAGGTCAGGTTAGCTAGCTCTGGCCTGGTCTTCTACAGAGTGCAGAGGCTAAATATGACGCTTCTAAAGGTTTGGGCCTAGGCCAAACCAAGATACGATCTGTCCAGGAATTGTGACCTCCTCCAAGACAATAGCGAGGACTGAACGGGCAGGGCCACCTGCCGTTCAGAGCCTTAGGCCAAGTGGATCTGCACCCGGCTCATGGGCCACGCCACTTTTCGGGGAGCACCCA